CAGCCAGATGCGTTAAGTTGACACAGGTTTCTGGAGAGAACTGGTTGCTCGAAAAACAAGCACTGATACAGTCTCGATTAGGAAAGTAGTGCTAAACACATGAAAAAAAAAACAAGCGTACAAGTTTCTTGAAAAATTGGTGGAATTTTGAGAATATAGGACCGTTTGAAAATATATTTGACCAAGATCGATAGAAATTAGCTCGATCAAGTTGAATGTGGAAATGAACTGATAAATTAGGAAGTAATTATATCGGAAAAAAAGATTGAGTTGAATTGAGTTTAAGGGAACTCGAAGAACGATGGTAGCTCTATCAAAAATCAAGACAACCCGTCCAGGTTTCCTAATCGCCTGCCAATAGCGTCCATCCGAATAACGGCTTTAAATGTTTTGTATATGTATGTAAGCACAAACTCATGCTTAATGACGTGTAATTCTGCTTAGTTGATGTCAAGTAAGTGAAACGCTGTTCTCGCCAAATGAAAATGTCCCATGCTAACAAACAACAACACTCTACACAACTATATAAACTGGTAGCCAACTTCTTGGTGTTTCTTGTTAACCCTAAAAACTTCCCATGACAGCAGCTGGCTTCTTCTTGGTCAGTTTCCTTGAATAACTCCTTAGCACTCGACTAGTTTGTTACTTCTAGATTGTCATCCTATCCCGTCCAATGGGGGTCATACCATTTATCTTTGACCTTATGAATGGACTTGGCCCACATTATCCACAATGTGTATGTGCTCCACCCCCATGTGCAGCTACAGCCAATGCAGTAAGTGCTTCTCAAGCAACAGTAGTTGGACAGACTGCTCTCGTCGAGCCACTACCACCTGTACAATCGGTACCACCGCCGTATGTTGGTGGCGGAGGAGGATACGGTGGACTGCCTCCGAATATGTACTCTGCAGCGGGCTATCCTTATAGAAGGAGGTACAGAAGGTAAAATGAATTTTGAACCTTATGTACTTAAATTAAACAGATAGTTAATTTAGTGATTTTTTTTAGAGGAAGAAGGTCTCAAGCCCAAAAAATTCCCGTAATTATATTAGTTATTTAATCTTCATCGGTATGAAGGGGTCTTTATGAATAAAAAGAATCTTACAGAGATCAATCAATATATTGGCCTTTAACTTTCTTCTCTTTCTTCTGCTTTTTCGAAATATTACAAAGAAAATTGCCCGTAGTTCTCATCTTCTTGCCCTTAAAAGTACAAAGTACTAATCTTTGTTCTGAATTTATGTCTTCCAACAATACTTCATTTATGTGGCTA